TTTTGTGAGAACCCCCCAAATTCCTTTAGGGCTCCTGGCCAAGCTCAAGAGCTCCAACGAACCCCAAAACTATGTGGCTCAAGGCAGGAGCCCCAGGGCGCTCTGGAAGGCAGCAGAGCCCTTTGCAGGCTTCGGCAAAGCCCAGCGAAAGCCCTGGGGCCAAACTGTGTGAAAAGCTCGTGGTGGAGCAAAGGTGGAACCTCCCGGGTTCTGCGGTCACCGGCTGAGGACACCGAGATCTGCGTGCCTCTTGGCTTTCACAGAACCCCAGCACCATTCCGGCTGGAAAAGCCCCTCGGGGTCACCGAGTCCAACCCTCAGCCCGACTTTACAAAGCTCTCCCCTACCCCACATCCCCCAACAGCTCATCCCACCGGCCCTGAACCCCCCCCAGGGATGGGGACTCCCCCTCTCCGCTCTCCGACCACTCTTTGGTGAAACATTTTCTCCTCCTGCCCAGCCTGACCCTCCCCTGGGGCAGTTTCCAGCCGTTCCCTCTTGTCCTGTCCCTGATCCCCTGGGAGCAGAGCCCAGCCCCGGCCTCTCCACAACGTCCTGTCAGGAGCCGCAGAGAGGGATGAGGGCTCCCCTCAGCCTCCTCCTCCTCACACTGCACACTCCCAGCCCCTTCCCTGGCTCCTCACAGGATTTATTCTCCAGCCCTTCCCCAGCCTCGTTGCCCTCCTCTGCCCTCGCTCCAGCCCCCCCAGATCTCTCTGGGATTGAGGTGCCCAAACCTGGACCCAACCCTCCAGGTGTGGCCTCACCAGTGCCGAGCCCAGGGGGACTGTCACCTCCCTGCTCCTGCTGGCCACACCAGTGCTGACCCAAGCCAGGATGCCGTTGGCTTTCTTGGCCCCCGGACACACTGCCGGCTCCTGTTCAGCTGCTGGTCAGTGAGAACCCCCAGACCCTTCTCTCCCAGACTCTCCCTGCTGCACGGCTCGGGGCAGGCTGGTAAATAACTTCGTGCAGTGTCTCTAATCGAAGTGGCGAGCCCTGCCCAGGAAGCCTCAAAATCACAGAATCCCGGAAACATCTCGGTTGGAAAAGGCCTTGAAGATCCTCCAGTCCAACCCCAAACCTCACGCTGACCGTTCTCAAGCGTCCTGGTGTGGGCGCAGGATGAGGAGAGCAGAGCAGAGGTGAGGAAAGGTGCAAAGAGCCCGCGGGTCACCAGCGCATCGCTCACCTGCGGCTCAGCCGCTCGCCTCGGGCCCGCTGGCTCATTATCCATAACCCCCCCCCGGTCCCTCTCGCCCATGCCCCCCCGCTCCTCTATCACCCCATCGCCCTCCTCCACCCTCTTCACCTTCCCCTCTCTCGGACCCTCTGTGCTGCTCCCTGTCTCGACTGTTGGTTGTTTCATCTCTCTGCCTCGATCTCTGTTCCTGTCTTTTCCCACGCTCCACCTCTCCGTCCTTCTCTCTTGTTGCTCTTGTTGGTTCCAGGCCAGCACCCTGTGCCCTGTCCCTGTCCCTTCCGCAGGCGTCTCCTGCTCTCTGGCTCCCTGTCCCTCACCTGCTCCCTCTGGCCTGCTCCCCATCGCTGCCTTGGCGTCCTTTCTCCCCCTCTCTGCCTCGCTCCCGTCCCTCTCCTCGTCTCTCGGTTTCCTTCTCCATCACCACCTCGCTGCCTGTCCCTTTTCTCTTCTCTCTGTCCTCCAGCCTCTCCCGAACGTTTTGCCTGGAGAGCTCCATACCACTCCCTGTCCCGTTGTCTTTGAACTTCTGACCCTTTTTTGCCCACCCAGCCCTTTTCTGTCTCCCACCCCTTTTTACACTCCACAATTTTCTGCCCTTTACTTGCCCTCTGGCCTCGCACCTGTAGAAGAATTTAAAATATAATCTCTGGCATATTTGAAATAAATTTTAAGCCCTAGTGAAACGTGTCCAGGACTGAGCTATACTGTAATATCACCAAGGCAACCGCAACGCTGCTCAACAGGCCTGAGAAGCATTCTTGGTCTGCTGCTTGTAAAGTCCCGGCCCAAGGCTGGTTTAAAACCCCATCAAGCTGATCCTATAGAGACGGGTTTAACAAAATTAATTGACTGAACACAGGGGGTTTGCTAGATTAGGAGAGTTTAGTATCTAGAAACTGCTCGCTCTACCGAAGCTTTTAATAGAACGTCTTGAGGTCTTAGAATTGTGCGAGGTGAAAACTAGTGGAAGAAAGATGAAGAAGATGATGACCCGAAAGATGACCTTGAAATCAGTTTCAACAAGGATTGGAACCAGAAGAGAAGAATTAGGCTGAGACTGGGGGTTGTAGTTTCAATAAATGATGAGAATCAAGAACTGAAAGGATGAGTGGAAACTCATGGAGACTTTGGGCTTAGGCGATGGATTTAGGAATAGTGTATAAACTGTGTGAGGCCTTCGGACAACCTTGGGGGCCCAGCGGTGAGGGGAGCCCATTGCCCTTGCCGTGGTTAACCTTGGGACCCGCCACCCTTGGGGCAGTTAAAGCCAGGCCCAACACCCTTTGGGCACATCACCCTGGGGGCTGTGAACCCCGGGGGGGCCCATCGCTTTTTACTTCAAAGGACTTTGGGATTGTGGCACCCACTGAAGTGACGACGAAACCTGTCGCCGTCCTGGGTGGCGCTCCCGCTCCACTCAGCACTGAGGAGCCCACCCGCTGGCCACTGGGTCTCAGTCCTGGGCTACCAGAGATGGAGTGACTGGGAGAGAGCCCAGTAAAGAACCGTTCAGCCTGGAGAAGGTTTGGGTGTTGGGAGTCCCGCCCAGGTGGGGCCTCAGCAGTGGCAGTGACAGGACAAGGGGCGCAGAGCACAAACCTCGACACTGAGTGACTTGGGGAGACATGTTTTTTACTGGGGGGGGTGACTGAGGCTACTTGGGGAGGTCTCTGATGGTGGAGGGAGAAAAGGCCACCTGGATGTGGCTACGGTAGCCTCCCAGGGGCTTGCCTGAGCCCCCCAGCACCCCTTTAAGGTGCCTGCTGACCCCCAGGGTCTCCCAAGGCCCCTTCTGAGCACCCCAGGACCCTATGAAGTTCCCTTAAGCTCCCCCCCTGCACCCCATGAAGGTCACTGTTGACCCCCAGGGACCCTCCTGAGCCTCCCAGCTCCCCATAAAGGGACCTTGTGCCCCCCATCGAACCTCCCAACCCCCTCCAGGACCCCACAAATGTCTCTGCTCCACCCTAGAAACCCACAGGACCTTTTCCAGAAGGAGGGGGACAGCTGGTGACACCTGGGACACGGCGGGGGCTCAGCGTCTCCCCCAGGCCAGCGCATGGAGG